ATAGGTGTCAATCTTTTCCAGTTGAAGTGTGTGTGTGTGCAAAGGGCAAAAACGAAAAAAAGTCGAGGGAGCAGATTTCATGAAGCATCTCGGAAAACCCTGTCCGCGCTGAGAAGTGGGCGGGGATAATGGGGCGGGGCTTGCAACAGTACCTAGTGTGGTCTAGTTATCAACCACCTAATTGTAAGGGGTGTGTCCGATTTGATTTGAAAAGTGTCCGATTTGGTTTGAAAAGTGTCCGATTTGGTTTGAAAAGTGTCCGATTTGGTTTGAAAAGTGTCCGATTTAAAGTGAAAATGGTATATATCGCCTCGAAAGTCGAGGAAGAAAAATGTCCTTTGTTGCCCCCCCCGCCCTGTATAGTGTTTGCTGCAGACGCTAGGGCGTGTCAGGGAACTGGGTCTAGCCAGCCCGTTTCCCATCAGCTGTTGTCGCTTTCCTTATTCAACAACTGGTGGAGAACGGGCTGGTGTCGCGCCAAACCCATCCTCCTCTGACAAACCCCAGTGGCCTGCAACGAAAAAGATTTCATACCCAATTTCAGGTATTACTAAACAAGTACAACAAATTGCAGCAATGAGGTATTGATTGTATTTTCACCATTTAGACAATTCAATCAACAATTCAAATAAACATCTATCAAGAGACAACACAAACTCTGAGTTCAATGATGGCATTCACCGAAACAATGAGTATCTGAACATGTACATATCATTTTGTGAATCAATTAGATCAAGGAAACAGAAGAACATGACATTTGAAGGCAAACATAGGTAAATCGGGTTAGAAGTGGACTAAAAAGTAAACAGATGGAGGCAGTTCATTCAAATTCACCACAAGCCTCCCTTCCCTGACTATAGCGTGGATTTAAAAATATGTGTGATGGCAGTGATGGTGACACACGACAAAGAATGAAATGCTACTGGTATTAGAGAACAGGGCACGTCGTGCTTTGGGGATGCTCAACTGAGGGCAGGGTATATGGGCGCTGGAGAGGTGGAGGTTGAATTTTTTCCTATCTGCTGATTTTTCCCGTTTCATGCGCACAACATATACTCGAAATCCCTGAGATCGGGTAGGCGTGGCCGCATGTTTCAACTTAACCTGAAGGTGTCTATGCTTCTGGTGAGATATTTTCATCTTGACACAATTGTTGTCGTGTCTCTGTCCAACACAGAACAAGATGACAGTTGTCCCAGACTGGAATATTCCACGAGTAACCAGTTCCGTGCCATGTTCAAATGCCACGCCTACTCTGGCTCAGGGATAAGGAGTGTACCTCCCTCTCCTTCATTTACAGGGCACATCGTTGTTGGGGAATCCCCAACAAGGGGTAGGGGTCGTATTTGGCCGCCAGGGAGGGGGTCGTATTTGGGCTGGGAAAAATTTATTTTGATAGTTGATTTTTCTCGCTTCAGGGACGTTGTAAAGGGAGGGGGGGGT